CTTGCACTTGGTTTCAAAACTGTAAATACTCTTGAGTTCTAAGTATAGTTTTGGACAACTATGAAGAACCTTTGAGAATTAGACTACTTATTTCAGTAAATTAACTAGTTAGTAACTGTGAAAATGCTGATGTTAGACAGTATTTCAGCTTCCTAGGCTATAAATGGATATAATTTTTACTTACCTGACAGGTGTGTCATGAGAATTAGCTAATATTGACACTTTGATCTTTAAAATGCTTTGCCAAGTATTAATTAAGGAAGGATCATTTTGCATTTAAAATAGCTAGTATTTTGAAGTTAAATTTGTCTCCATCCCTCTCCTAAAATGGTAAAGAATCTACCTTTTGTTTTTCTACATATTCCCCAGGAGATAATTTCAGAGAAACCTGAGAAAGACAGACTGACGCGTTTCAAGAAACACTAACTGTGTTTCAAGAAAGACTAATGAATACCTCTAAATAAAAATCTGAGTTTTGTTGCAAGAATCTTCTCTCCTGGGGGTCTTGTAACCAAACCTGTAGACTTGGTCAAGTGTTACTGAATTAGGGAGAAAGGACATCCATACCCTCCAATAGACTACATTTTTATAACTAAGCTACAAGTATTTTTTACAAGGCAGGTCTAAAAGTGAAGTATGAGAGGTATATAACATGCTGCAGATATTCAAGTACTGCAGCTACTGATAAAACGTGGCCTCATTTCTCCACAGAGGGAAAGGTGCCAACATATGGGCAAAACTCTATTATAGCTCTTCTGCAGCTAGTGATATGAAATACATATAAAGCTGTGCAATGTTTTTGTTAGATTGCCACCCATGTAGGCTTCTGCCAGAGGAAGATGGAGAGCCAAGGCTTGTTTGTGGAGCCAGTTCTCTCCCAGTCACTCTGCACTTGATAATAAGGGCAGAACAAGGGCAAGACTTTCACCATGGGCACTCTCATAGTGAAGATATAGCAGCAAAGGCATGACATTTGGCCTTTACATGACCCAGTGAATATAAACTTAAACTAGAGGGAAATAAAAGATTGTATTTGATAGCATATAAGTAAACAGCAACATAAATAAGGCTCCAAACAAGCTGCTCTGCACACCCTGCAGAGATCATTATGCAGGGCTTTCCTGTGGTTGCTACTGCTGCTGGTTACAGTCTGACCTGATGTCACAGGCTACTCAAGCTGGTAGTGCAGAGACATCATCTCTTCTGGAGCTGCAGTATTCTCTTTAATGTTAGCCAGGCAACACAGGGAAGATAGAAACGAAGGGAAAGAAAAAAGATGGGACATAGATACTAGAAGAGATGCCAGAAAGCACACACAGGAAAACAGATGTAACCCATGTGTACTGCCTTTAAATGCCCTTTAGGGTCGCAGGGTAGCAGCAGCAGAAACTCTATGGGAACATTTTGCAATGTCACATTCTTGCCCGCTGCCCAAGGCATGCAAAAGATACTGAACAAATGTTACCCAATGTTTTGGTGACTTAAGTCCTGTGGATCTAAAGATGTGTCTTAGAGGTGATTCTGAGGACTAAAGTCGGATTGATTGTTGTATCTAGAATTAAAGTTCCTTATATGAATCCTTCGTGATAGTCTCTGTCATGGGAGATTTTTTCCCCTGTTCCCCTGTCTCATTTCATGCACAGCATAGCCATTACTTAATGAACTACCAACTTCTCAACATTTATTTTTCTCCTCATTATCAAGTGTGGCTTTATGCCTTATTTACCATGTTGTCCAAATGCTGCTGAGAATTATTTATAGCATTCACGATACAGGAGCCCAATTCTTATAAACAGCGATTAATTTTACAATAGCTGGCTAGATCCTGAAACTAAGGTGGATATTTTTGAGATGGGCACTGTTTTTTAGAAAATATTTTATAATCCTAGAAATCTAAAAAGCATCTCCTTAGACCTTCCAGAAGGAACCTGCCTACTAGGCAGCAAAGCTTAGTGACAGCACATGACATGACATGGTCCTCACCCTTCACAAGGGTATCTGAACCAAGCTATTTACGGTGCCAGTGCACACATTTTACATAAGAAATACTGTTGAGAACAGTGAACAAAACACTCAGTGCTACATTAAGAACTTGTTCCTGGGATTGCAGATTACAAGATGTGCAGCGAGAACCTAATTTTGGTATCTAATCAGGGCTGAGTGTTCTTCCCCTCATCCTGTGCACTTTCCTGCCGGTGCTCTACTTGATGGTGCCTGCTCCTGATTCCCTAAGGTACACACTCCCCTTCCTACTCCTTGCAGTCACTGCCTCAAGATTATTTTGATTTATCATCACTATAATCAAACACAATTGGCTGTTTATCGTCCCCTCCAGTCCATTTTACATGTTTCCTAGCCTTTCCTTATTTTTTAAGTGGGAAAACCCCCTCACTTTCTCCATTTCCTTTCTCCTCTTCATCAGGTTAAAGAAACACAGCAAACCAACATTTCACTGGATTCCTCCAGCATCCCAGCTTTGTCTTTCATCTTTTTGAAAGGTCAGTCCAGAAGTTCATTGGATTAGAATGAGGAAGAGCAAGTTTATGCCACTTTCTGGCTTTATGGATAGCTAAAGTCAAAATCCTACCAGCTATCCTGACAAACCATTATAATGTATTCAAACTCAAGTTTCAAAATTAATTTTCAATTTTTACTTAAAAAATTTTTAATAAATAATTCTGGATGTGCTACATCAAAATGGATAATTGTCAGAGGAGGTGCTGGATTTCACAGTTTCAGGGCTCTACCTCCAGTTTGTGAGCAGCTGCAGGTAAAGCCACTGCTCCTCTCGGTTCCCATTAGGTGCTTTGTTCCCTCTCTTTGGCTCTGCTGACTTTGTATATGAGAATATCTCCATAGCCACTTTTGTGATATAAAACTAAAAGTAGACAGGGAAAAGCATTTTTTTCTGTCCACATAAACTCGTTAATTTTGTATTACTGCAAAAATTCCAGCCTACATGAGGCCAATAATTTTTGAAAATTATATATATAAGGGTAAATCTCTAATTTTAATATCAGATGGCTGCAAGAGCTAGATCAAGAAGAAGGTTTACATTCTGGAGCTCAATCTACACATGCACAAAGTTAAAATCTCAGAAAAATAACATATACTGGAGATCACATTTATTTTTACATCAAGGACAAAGTGCTAGCGTCCATCTCTGCAGCATGATGTGTTTATTCCTCTGACAGTTTCAAGATCAGCTGATAATCATGTTGTCAATATTATACTACTCAGCTTCCTAAAATGCAGCTTTGCTTCATGTCTTTTATTTGTTTTAACATACATACAAGAAATGACATTTTAACTGGGCAGATAGTTTTTTAAAGTTCAACCCGTACTCAAATGGTGCTCTCCTGTTAAACAGGCACTTAAAAACTACAAACAAGAAACCCCCAATATTCTGCTTATTTCACAAAAATGGAAACTGAAGATAACCTTTCCCAAGTTTCCCTAGTATCCCAGGAGAAAAGTTGAAGATCAAGTTGGTGAGAAAAATGTGAAAGGAACTGACAAAAAATTTTTGTTCACTGGTGTGAACAAGGTCATTTGAGATGTACTTTTAGGACCCTGAAACAACTAGAGTGACTGGTCCCAGTAAATTACTTCAAACTCTGTATTATTTTGTTCAGTACACATCAGAAGGTTTTAAGGACTTGATTTTATAACTTATAAGCCTACATACATTTCAAACTAGGCCAGATACCAGTAATGTAAAGAATCAATGCACAGCCTAGTCTGGAAATCTTTAACTTAGGTACAGTGTTGTCAAATCTGAGGATCATCATTTCAAGCAACTCTGTATCAGTAGACAACTCTGCATAAACCAGACAAAATTTTGCAATACAGTATGCAGTTCCTGCAGTATCTCACTGTTTCAGTACTATCAGTCAGTCAGTAATTACTGAAGACAAGTTTGTAGGAGCTGAAAGGCTAAAATTAAAACTACCCCAGCTTCAGATATTTAAGACAGGATTGATGTCCTATTTGACAGCTAAGTCATTAATTCTATACTTTATTCAGCATTTGGAAAGGCTTATTTGACTGCTTCCAAACTCCTCAGTCAGGCTCTGGGAAAAGGAAGGTGAGATTGTGGGAAAAATGTAATATGAAAAAACACTGGAATGAGTCTGTGGCAGCTAGAAATTCATGACTATCACTGCCCTGCACACCAGAGCCACTCAAAGCCTCCTGGGATATGCTTGCAGAGATATGGTTTTGCTTCATGCACAAATATGTATGTACATATACATGTGCAGGAACACAGTTAGTGAGTTCACCTTATTATGAAATACAGCTAGGGAAAGGAATTGCTTTGAGAAAAATAATTGGGTATTCACCAGCAAAGTAACAGTTTCAAAAGGTTCTAGAAAATGAACCAAAGCTCTTATTGTTAGAGAACTATCGACTCCAGGTTTGAAAAAGTGACCTCAAGTGAGCAATGATGCACTTAGCCTGCAACTTGCAGCTGCTGTATTTCACTCTAAATTGAATTGCCAATCCACAGTGCAATCTTTTTCTACTGTAATCTCACATCTTTGGAGCAAGTATACTGAAAAATACTATATACTGGCTGCATTATTCCAAGTTAGACTAAATTCCTCTGGAAATGGAAAATATGTCCACCTTACTGAATTTAAGAATCCCTGTAGGTATTTATACAGGGGTAATGTTTTTTTTCCTTTTTAAGGGCACTTAGTGACAACTTTCTGTTGCCATTTTTCCTGTGAACAGTTCATAAGCATGCAAGTGACTAATATCATGTGGCCCCATTAAAAGCATTTAGGTACGTTTAAGCCTACAGCCCCATACTGAAAACCATGTAATAGATATTCTATACTTCATACACATATGCACAGTGATCACATTCTGCATTCTTGCCATACTAAAAGTGGTCTTTTTGGTAAATTATGCTGCCAATTTAGCATGATTTATAATATCACCAATGTCAATGGTTTACAAACATAAATAATAGGCATGTGCTGTGAAATACTTACATTCACTTTTCCACTAACTGTTCTTCACTACAATCAAGTTATTTTCCAGGACAGTGTTTAATCTTCTTTCTAAATAAAAGAAGGCAACAGTTACAAATATATTCATATGCATTAAGCTATGCTCAATCACATCAAATTTATGAGCTTTAAAATATAGATTTAAGATCATCTATACTGTCCCATAAACTTGTAATTTGTTTATATACAGTCAGTTTTATTACATTTTAAACACAACTTTAGCACACTGTAACTTTCAATCCTGAAGCTAAATGGAGCAATATTCTGCATTTCAATAGCTGCTCGGATAAAAAATCAAATGGGCAGTTGCTCACAGATGTACAACTAATTACTGAAGAACTGAGAAGTCAACTGATATATTACCAGAAAGAATATTACCAGACAGAATGCCTGGCATTACAGATGGATTATTGCATGATTTGGTACTCCTCTAGCTAGAGCTTGAACATACTCTTATCAATGGCAGTACTCTGCACCTCCCACAATCTAACATTTAAGAATGGAAGAGAAACAGTGTCTGTCTCTTTAGGGAAGAATAAAATACCTCTCTTTAACATCACTGTATATGTAAAAAAGTGATAAAAAAGGTTCATGTAGATTGTCCAACATGAATGGGAAGATGACAACTGTCCTCAAAAAAAATATCCCAGGCAATAGACATAGGGAGTACTGAATGCCTCAACCTGTTCCTTATACAGTTATTTCCCAGCTGCTTTTCAGCAAAGCATGCAATTCACAATCAAACAGTTTGCAGCAAAAGTCAACACATGCACTAAAGGATCACTGCATGGCAGTTCCCAGGGGAGAGAGACCCAAACACCTGGCAAAATCCACCACCTGTTCTCCAAAGCCATCTCATCTCAGCTGAACATGACTTTGAGACTTGCATAACATTGGCTTCTCCTGGAAGTAAGACGCAAACATCAGCAGCATTATTTTCCCTTCACGTTCCTTGAGGCTGCACAGTACTAAACCAAGCTTATTTTGATAATGTTCCATGGGATTTCATTTCCTGTGATCATACCCTATATTGCTGTGGGAAGATGTTCTTTAAGACTACGTATATTTATCTCTTCCCAGGGAAAATCTGTTTGAGAGAACCTAAGCACTCATCAGGTAGCGGATGTACATGGATAGCCAGCAAAATTGTGAAATGAGGGATATGGGAGAAGAGCTGGGTGAGATATTTAGACCACAGCTGCATGATACAGCCTAATTGAAGAGTGCAGGCTTGGACTGGAACTGAGGAAGGTCATAGGAGGGAAGTGTAACTAAAGCAGCCAAACCAAGAGACAAACAAACAAAAAAATTGGACTTTAGGACCAAGGGAAAGGGCAGATTTCTTTCAATATCTTACTGACAACAGGGAAAACAGATCTGCTGTAAATCAAGCATGTAAAGGAAAAGAAAATTCAGAAGTAAAAGGAAGTGGCAAAGGGATGTGAACCATTATGATAGTGTTAACAACAACCAAGAAGGAAGGAGGTGGAAGTAGTCAGCAAGGAAACAATGGATCACGATGAGAAGTTAGCTTTTTATATCCATGTTGCCTCTTTCCTTAGTAGCATTTTTGCAAGCATTGCTGAACACTAATTTAGGCATGTCTTGCACAGTTTGTTCACCTCCCAACTTTGCAGATGCAAGAACTGAAGTGCATGGAAGTTAGTATTTGGCTGAGCCTGGAAAATGTATTGAGTGCTGTCAGCCCTGACTGTTGTATTCAGCCAGCTATGCCCCCAATAATAAAGGTGTGCCCTTTGCTAAAAACATCAGAAATTTATTTATTGGAAAAAGAGGCTCAACGATAACCCAGGAACTGGTACAGAGTCAGTGGACTACTTATGTGCCAGTTCTCACCTGAGTACACTGGGCAGTTTAGTCTGTAGTTGGTAATCAGCTGTGCCAGAAAATGATGCTACCAAACTGTATTCAATTTTCTGTGTTACAAAATAGGAAGCCTTTTTTATAGGAGGCTTGGGATGTAAGCCAGAAACCTCTCTCATTGTCTCCCTATGTATTCAGACTGAATCATCAGATTTTCCAGGTTTCTCCACTCAAATGGCACACTGCTTTGGATGAGTTTAGATGGACACAGGTGGTACCATCTGCCACAAGGCTTCTTTTTTTTTTTTCCCTTCTCCCTCCTGCTTATAGCACAACTTTTTCAGTATCTTACACTGGAACACCATGAGGAATTGGTCTTCCATGGTATGGGTTTGGCCAGCCAGCCAGTCAAAATGGACTGCCTGAACTGAAGGAACTTCAGTACACATTGCTATCACAGGTCCTCTGATAGCTGGAGGCACTTGCAGACTGACCTGAAACTAAAAGTACTTGGATGACATAGGGGAGTTTTTCTATAAAGTTGACAGAAACCATGAGCACAAACAGAGCAAGTGGGTAGGGGGGTGCTCACACAAGCTGCCTTCAGTCTAACAAGGCTAATCTTCCTGTTTCTTCTCTCTTCATTGGCTTGACAGAGAGAGTCTTGCCATGGATTGCCTCCCGAATTAGGAATCAATCTTCCCTGAGCTGCTTTTCAGAAGGGACTCTGTCTCCCTTCCATAACCCACAGAGGACAGCAGGGCATTACTGACAATAGACTACTTTTAGTTCTTACCCTGTTGCAATGTGAACACACTTAACTGATCCCACCTTCCACATGACACAATTTCTGACTTTCAAATCAAAATACACCTTTAGGAGAAAAGGATGAAGACCACCTTGTATGCAATTAAGACCATCACAAGAGGTCAATAACCCAGTAGAAACAGGACAACTATGAACAACTTCCCCACCCTGCAAGTGCCCTCTCCCTCATCAGGCAGCTGCACTTCTGTTCTCAGGGTCAAGGTCTCAGATACCACAATTTCAAAAAGATTATAAACTCAGGCTGATCAGTTGTGTCCAAGTGCAAAATTTTGCAAGTGGATAACGTGCCATCCTGGCACTGTGACTGCCAGGGAAATTGTGGCTTTTAAAAGCAGCAAACTACGAAGTGTGGCACTTGTTCTGTGGCACCTAAAGCTGATGCTGCTGTAAGTACGAGTAGGAGCACACTGAGTGCTTTTTTTTTTTAATGTTTGTTTCTAGAGCTAAAAACAGATCATGAACCATATTTCTTTGAGGGAGTCTTTTATTTGTTTGTTAGAAAGGTCAGGCACTGGGTCAGGGATAGAAAGTTGTACTATCCGGTTCCCAGACACGGACCTTATTCCCCTGAGCCTTCAACTATATGTAACATATGGAGCAGACACTTTTCATATAGACTTTTATATGCCCAAGGAACTTTCATCCGGCTGTTGAGCTAACAAGCACAGTGCCCTTGATAGGATGGAGCACATAAGATAAAACTACATACTGTTTTCAAGCTTAATTTTGAGAATGGATCTTTATATTTCAGTGCTGGGAAGGTGATTTTACATCATGCAGACCATGTCCATATGGAAACAGGATATAGAATTTACTATTAAAAACTTTAGGGTGATACCAAATACTAGCCTAATACACTAAACATTGCAGTGTATTTACATCTCTAGCTAACTCAGTGTCATGCTATTACATACCGATATATCATCAATGCAGTATCTTCCCTCACCTGTGACTCTCTAGCTTAAGTGGCTCTTGGTCATCTCCATTCTGCCCTCTCCACCTCCTTGTCCACAGACACTAGAGTCCACTTCTACCACATGAACTCCAGAGCTTTTTTACTGACTTCCTTTCTCCTCTGCTTGGCTTACTGCTATCCTCTTGGCTGGTTTTAGGCAGCACTTTTTTAGAATGTGAGGACACCAACTTTTTTTTCTGAAGCCTCACCCCTTATTCTGAGAGCAAATGGGGCCAAGGCCAGCCACCATGACACACTACCTCCATGACACACTGCCTCCGTGCAAGGGACCTATTTGTGCAACCTAGTGGTCTCCCACCAGTGCAGGATGCTCACCATGTCACGAGCATCACCCAGTGCAGGTGACGGGAGACAGACCAGCACTATACAGCAGAACAAAGTTTACTCATAGTTTTCCAGGAAGTCAACACAATACTGGCATAGTCAAATTTTTAAATTACCCAGAATTCAAAATTAACCAAAGCTCACATGTTTAGTTTTTCCTTCACTTTCCTGCTCCTTCAGAGTCCTAAAACAATATTACTGTTTCTCTCTGTTCTCAATTCTAAGATAATCCTCTCTTACTTTGAACCTTTGGCCTCTGTGGGCCAGGGAAGAGAAGAGTCATAGAATTATAAAGGAAAATGAAGCAGACTGCCATCTATGTTTGACCTTAAAAACCTTAAAAGCCAGTATAAACACAGATCAGTTTGACAGGTTTGCATTCACCAGTAGTTTTCAAAGTACTGAAGTTGTTCAATCATTTCAAAATACCAGTAAGTACTTCACTGACAAGAATTATTAGGAATCTTGTGTTATTCTGGTGTTGTGCAGACTTAGAGGTAGCTGTATGCTCGCCATAAGATATTCTACAGCTTCTGCTTTGGCTTAAAACAGCCCCAGCAACACCAACCACTCCCCCTTCACAAAACACAGCTGTTAACTACTAACTGAAGAACACAAAAATTCACCAAAATTGTCCTACAACCGTTACTGTTCAATCAAGGTAAATGGTGCAACATTCAAGGACACTGCTTCAGAGCCTCACACCTCAAAAAAGAAAATCAGTATCTGCTACATTACATTCCCCCTTTCATCTTCATGTCATTGAAGGCATTCCACAGGCAGTTTTATTTCTGACAGCACTGATTTTCGATCGATCTGCTCTGGCCTGGATTTGAAATAGGATACTACATGAAATTGGATCCTGGGAGCCTCAAACATGCCCCGGCTTGCACAGGAGGTTAAACAAAAAGAAAAAGAAGGGGCTTTTTTAAACACAGGGTGTTAGTAAAACTGATTTTAAGGTGTCCTTCCATTTCCCCTGACTGAAAGTAATATATTACCTCTATAAAGTCTTTTATACCAAGTTCTTGAAATTCTTTATTTATACAGTGCCACTGCTGCACACCTCAGCTTAGAAATATGCATCTTAGTAGTCAAC